TCGGGTGGGCGGTGGGCGATTGGTGTGAGGCTCCTTCCGCTTCCGGGTGGTGCCCGCACGCGTGGGTGCTGCTGCTCCTGTCCGGGCCTGCGACATCCCCGGCATGGACCGGCCGCGCTTCCCCTCCCGCGCCAGCACCGGCGGCTTCGCTGGGCCGCGGGGAGGGCTGAGCAGCGCGGCGGGGAGGCCTTGCCGGGCGGCCGCTGTTGTGCTCAGCCTCTCCCTGGGGGCCCTCGAGGACCTCCGGGCTGTGCCGGCGTCGCCGGCCTTCGGATGGGGTCTGGGGTTTAACCCGCCGGCTCTTCGGTGGTGCAGGCGGTGGTGGAGATCCCTCGGGCTGGGGCTGTGTTTGGGTCAAGGGAAATCCGGGGAGAAGGGGCTGGTGGAGCCGGGCTGCGCGGGAGTAGCCGCGGTGCTAAAGCGTGCTGGGGTGCGCCGGTGGCAGCGGGGAGCCGCTCCCCCGTTCAGTCGGCACCTTCTGTCCCCGCAGGCGGCGGAGGCTGTGGGCAGCTGGCAAAGCATGGCTCTGTCTCCTTCCTGGCTTTGGCCGTGTCGGGGACCGATTTGACTGCGTTCAGTTGCCCGGGTTTGGTTGATTTTTGATGGGCTGAATGAGGAGGTTTGTCCCTCAGAAGGTAGCGGCGCTTTGCACGTTCGGATTTGGTGCTGAGAGCGGAGGCCCGAGTAGTTCTGCACAGCTTGTGCTGTCACCCGAGCAGCTGGCAGGGCTGGCAGCGGCATGGAAAAATGGGAGCAAGACGGCTTGGCTGCCTGCGCAAAAGGATGGTTCAGTGAGTGCCGGAGCAAGGGCAGGGCTGCCGAATGTCAGAGAAGTGCTGCATTTGGAACGTGTCCTGCAGACGGCCGCCTGTGCAGCCAGCTTTGCTTGCTCTCCTGGGCACATGCCGTATTGTTTCCAAGAACTTGGCGCAGAGCGTGGCGGTCTCCGAAAGCAGCAGGGCCTATCCTGTAAGTAGAAGAAAATGTTAAAGAGTTTTCCTCTGTGCTAGAATACGGTCTCTCACAAGTAACAGTGTATTTTGAGTGCTAATTTACATTGCATCTGGACTTTTGGTATATTACTGATCTAATTTGTCTTATTTACATTTGTATGGAAAATAACTTCTACCATCCAGTTCTGTTCTTGTGAGAGCTTTGCAAACAAGACCAGCTTGTTTTCAGCGTTCAGAAGAGTGCTTGCCTAATTCTTGTATTTTGTGGAATCCAGCTGATGCGTGACTGGCAACTTTGTTTTAATTTTTTTTAAGCCACCCTCAGGATCACTTCTCTTTCATTTTATTTAAATTTATTAAGAACAGATTGCAAAGGGAATTGTTGCAAACTTGCTCTTTGTCATCTCATGTGACTAGGTCATGAATAAATACAGTGTTGCTGTATCTAAACGTAGATGTATTTTTGAGGAAATGCTTTCTATGTTTAATCTGAAGACAAAGTTCATACATTATGTTGATGATGAACACCATGTAATTTGTGAATTGGTATGTTTTGCTTTCAAGAAGATCACAAGCCAGGCTCAGCCGTGCTGATCAAGACAGAGAGGAGTGTTTGCTTTCTGTGATTAATTGTGATTAACATGGTGAAGGTTGTGCAGTATTGAAAAAAAAAAGTCTTGTTCATGGTAGATGGAACTGCAGTAACTTATGCAGAGTAAAAGTATGTTTTCCTATCTGTTGGACTGTTTCAGTATAGAAAGACATAACAAGTGTTAAATATAATATCATTAAATGATAAAAGAGGTGGCCTCTTTTGTCATTTTAATCAAGTATAAAGACTCCTGCCGCTTTTACATCCTGAGGAGTCAAAGTGGAATTAAATAAAAATTGATGGACAAGAAAGGTATCTTTTTATTCTTAAAGACAACTAGGTGTTTTCTTTCAATGAAATATTGGGCTATGAACAGAATACTGTGCTATTTGCCTTCCTGAATTTTGTCCTAGCTATTTCTACAAAGGGATGGTTCATTAAAAATAAGTAACATAAAGACATCAGGCTCAAGTGTAATAAACCCTGTGAGTATATATTCTTTCAGAAATCATATAACCACAGCTGTAGTTTAATCCTCTGTAGTCTAAGAGGTGCCCTTGGTTGTTGGTACCCTGGGCATACCAGGCTTGCAGAGAGAGCAGCAGCATGAGGAAGCCGAGGCATGACTGTCAGAGCGCAGCAGCAACATGCGCAATATTCCTCCAACAGTTGCCACTCTGTTGCCACGGAGATAATGACTTTTCCCGTGTCATTATTGATCTATCAACAGTAAGAGCAATTTTGCAGTCTGATATTGTTTAGCAAATAGAGAAACATCTGCTGAACACTGAAAAAACTGCTATAAAATGCTGGAAAGCTTCTCAGAAGTCTTGTGTACTAGGTTAAATAGTTAAATTTGTAGTTACTGTAGTTTTATGAGATTGGCCTATAAGATATTAAGCTTAACCGAATGCTTTTTAATAAAATACTTAGTATAGTCAGATGCTTTTGGATTATGCAATATGCAGCACTCAGAGGATAAACACTTACCTGCTGATAAAACTTACAACAATTTGTCCATTACACTCTAGAAACAGATAATTATGTCACCATCTATTAGTCTAAGTGAAACTTCTTGTGTTTTCCAGATAATGGTTTAAATCATCTGTTCAGAAGAAATATTAATGGAATTCCCATAAGACTCCTGGCATTTTGCTGATGTTCCTGTTAGAAGACCTATCGCCTCATTTTTGAAAACTCTCATAAAAGCTCCAGTATTCAAACTGCAAGGATTAAATGCTCAGTCAGTCATAAACTGGGTTTACTTCAGACATTCTGCTGCAGAACAGAATTATGATTTATTGATTTGTGGTTTGTTCTCACATGGTGCACAAGGAGGTGGACATCCAAGAATGATGCTGTCAGCAAAAAGGTTTTTATTTATTTTTAAAAAGGGGAGTGCTAAATTAGCTAGTGAGAAAGAAAAGTCTCATTTCAGCTTATCAGAACAGGACACGTCTTTATGTTCAAGTCCGATATATGTGTCATTCTTAATCGTGATAGTGACTGAAAATGAAGTCCCTTGTTATGCCCCAACAATTGAGCTCTATTTAGGTGGGGTTTTTTTTTGGTTGTTTATTGAAGTTTTTAAGTGGGATAGCTTGAGCTCCAGCTGTTTTGCATGCCAGGTAAATAATCTCAGTGTACCATCACAGTAACATCTGGCAGGAGCAACATATCCTCAGTTTTGAGAGAAGTATGAATACTTAAAATGTACTTACAATTCTGGGCTGCCTAACTTGTGAACACTGGAAACACATCTGTGAAAAGTTCCTGGCTGTTTTGGAAATGTGCTGGTTTTAAAAGGTTGTGCAACAAACAGCAGAAACAAAGAAATGCTGTGGGTGTTTTACAGGGAAATAGACATTTTGGAACCTGAACTGTACCTGACTTCCTGTTTTGGATCTAACCTGGAGATCTATACATAAGTTTGTTTCTGAACTGGATAGGTAATAAAATAATATCCATGGATTCATGGCATATTCCTAAGAGGATATTTGTGTTTGCCTTAAAATACAGTAGTCCATTTCATAAATGAGAGAGGTGAAGAATATTTACAAAATCACCTGTATCAATTTAACTAATGGGGATATAAACATGACCTAAGGTAGTATTTTGATTTAAACCATGTAAAGATAGCTTTGGCAGAGAGGGAGCATGGTGAACATCTGAGGAGAAATGTCTGAGCCCCACATTTAACAAACAGAATGGAAGGTCATGTTCAGGCTTGAATGTGGACCTTTAAATGAGGCACTCCTCAGACTTAATTTAGTTCTTAATGACACTGTTATCACTGTCCACTTCTTTTCACTTTGTGAGGTTTTTTTCAGCTTTGTGAGTTGTGACACTGTCCCAAAGCAAGGACAAGTACTGTGACCTCTGTAATAGAGGAGCAGGTTTATTCTTTGGGATAAGTAAGCTGCTTGCAACTGTTCTGGCATATGAAAATCTGCTAAATCCTTGTTTCTGAATTTGCAGGTGGTAATGGTTCTTGAGTCTTTCAGTGTTACGGAGGAAGAATAATTTTATATGCATCTATTTCCATGCAGAACTGAGAAATACTGCCTCTAATGAGAGCACCTCTGGCCTCTTTTCATCCATAAGTTAGGAGTGCTAAAATCTTTGATGGGCCTTAGAAAAAGACTGGGCAAGCTCAAGAAAAAAATTTATCTCCTAATTATAAAGACACCATTGTGGTATCAAGTCCTGAGCTATAGAAGGCTATGGAGTGGAGTTATGGTATTGTAACCAAATACATGTCCTGTTCTTTGCTTCCTGTGCACTCTCATCCACAGAAACAGGGTCTTGGTCTCTGGTATGGTAATTTGTACAGCTCTAATTTACTTGAAGTGCTGGAAGTGTCTCAGCTTCTAGTAAGGCTGGGAAAACCCCAGGTACTCGCTGCCTGTAAGGTTCTTGTGCCCTAGTTAAGGTCTGCCAGCACACTGTCACGGCAGTGATGACAGGGGTGCTCTCACTGGCTCTGTTTATTTGAAAAGCATGCAGGTGCAGTGAGGTGCTCAATAATAATAATATTTTGGTATGTAATTTTGAGAAATGCATCTCATTACAAAAACTCAACTTGGCTTTAATAAATAGCACTGGCCATTTGATCTTCTCTGTGGCAGAAGACAGATAGTACCAAGCACGTCATCACATGTGAGTTTCATCTGTATGACCTATTTCCCCAAGTAAAAATTCAAGAGTTCTGCACACAATACTGTATTTGTAAAGTAGAAGGAATTGGTATGAAGAATCTTAATGATGAGGGTTTTTTTTATATCTTAAGAGCTTTTAAGCTTGGTACTACAATATATTAATAAAGATTCTTTCTGTGCACACCCTTTAGTCTTTCATTTTTTCTAGGAATGTGTGTTTGTGAAATCAGCAGGTGCTTTGAACTTGGTGTACTTTAAATCTCTGCCTGCTGACCACAGATATTGATGTCATGTGTATGTTAAAAGTGTCCATGAGTACAGTAGGACTATATCACGTGGTCTGCAGAGTTTTTATGTGATGTGAAGAAATTCAGATGCAAACACGTAGCAGAAACTTAAAATCGGAGAGGAGGAGTGGGTGTGTTGGGCATACTTGCATTTGTAATGTGTGGACTCAAAGATGAAGAACAGAGTCAAAGTATCTCTTGTGGGAGGTAAAAATGCAGATTCTTAAAGGGGATCTCAGAAACTTGAATTTTTAGATTACTGCAGTTAATTAAAAAGAAAAACTTGTAAAATCAGAAATAATATGTAGACGAGGGAGGTTTGGGGAATTTTGATGTTCTAATATGTTTTTACTTTCTGTTTTTGAAAAATGTGTATGTTTTGAAAATCTGACTTTTCAAAGAGTACTTATAAATGCTCCATATAGATAGAGTGATATTCATTACTCTCACTGTGCACATGCTGTGGTTTTATTGCTCATAGCTGCATCAGACAAATTTTTGGGGGGGATAATTATTAACTATGCGCTTTAGAGGACAAGCAGGTCTTTCATGGAACAGGCAGCTTCTCCACAAATGCAAGCATATGTATCTTTTGTAATTTCCTTTAAAATAATTGCATCCTTTCTAATGCTTCCCTTTAAGTTAATTTCTTGTAATTTGGTGATTGAAGTTTCCATCCTGCAGTACTTCAAGTGTTTCCTCTTAAGTTCACAGTAGCCTTCTTCCCTTGCTAATATCCATGGCATCTGAGATTGCTTCCCCAGCCTCAACATAGCTAGCAACTTGCAGGATAAAGATCTTGGCCCTGAAAGTTGTGTGTCATTTAATTGTAGCAGTTCTTGGTCTTGTATAAAAGCCTGCTTTATAATCAGCTTGACTTCATTTTAAACAGACAAACAAAAGCATTTTCAGCCTGGCAGAAAGCTCTGAGTTTCAGAACAATCACTTTCCTTGTCATAGTGATGCTCAGATCACTCTGAATCATCCTTGGACTCCCTTTCTTATCAGTAGCCCTTTTGCTCTTTGTTCACATCCTACTTTTTCATCCTTGCTAGTCCTGGGAGACAGAAGGAGACAAATGTATACCCTCGCAGCTTCTTTCTGTCACTGTACTCTAGCTTGAAACAATCAGAGTGCTCTGTTTTATCATGCTTGACTACCACGGTGAATGATTTAAGGTCTGTGTGCCATGGAAGGAAGAAAGTAAAACTAAACACTTCCAAGATTGACAATCTTTTAAACACTGGCATACAACAGGTGTTTGGTGCAGCATGTGTTTCCCAACTTCTAAAAGACTGGATCTAAACAAATTGTTCTGCAAACCTGTCATGTCTAGGAAAAGGGAGACTATTAAAGGTGAAAGTGTAGCTCTAAACCTACTGAGTCTCAGGGAAATTGGTATAACAAAACTGTATTTGTGGTGGGAAGGGAAGCAAGGAATAATTTTAATGATGGAATGTCATATAACAACAGTTGTCTTTGCTCTCTATTCAGAGAACTTCAGAGAATATTTTCTTAAACTGGTTGTTGGCAACTTATATAATTGAAAAAAAAAAATGCAGAGAGTAGTAAGGAAGAAAACCTAATGCAGTGGAATTGTTACACAGGAGATTTGCCTTCAAATCCTGATTTTCTTGGCTTTCCCTGGCTCCTGTGCTGAGTGCCAATGGGGGCATTGCTGTTAGTTACAAAAGTTAGCACTGCATCCTTCTAAACCTACAGCCTTCCATTTTGCTGCTGCTTCCTTCACACTTTCAAAGCACATCAGAGATCCCCTTTAGGGTCTGGAAGGTGCTATGAGTTCTCCCTGGAGTCTTCTGATATGATCTTGTCTGTGTATTGCTCAGTAAACTACAGTATGTTGCACCTGGCTGTGGGAGTAATTGAACAGGATTGGACTTCTAGGCCAGCCTTGAGAGTTCATTGGATGTGACCAGACTTAGAGTGTATCACACCATTTGTGAATTTGAAAATGCGGTAGTTCTTATTGAACATAATTGGAATTATAGTGTCCCATTTGCCCTGAATTTCTGTTCATTAGTGTTGAATTGCCTATCACTCAGAATAATCCCAGCTTTCCCCAGCCCCTCTTGATATCTGAGGCCAGTTGGGATGAAAGGGGTATTATTTTTCTGCCAATCTTAATTCAACAAAAACCTTGGCCATAAAGTGACAGGGTGTCAGAACTGATCCAGTAACACAAAGTCTCACTTCCCTGTGGAGGTAGTCAGTCTGTGCTCAGGTGTGGAGCCAAATTAGACAAAAGGTAGAGTCTAGCAAGTGCAGCAGGGAGAATGTGAAATGCAGGGTTTAAGTCCATGTGGTCTCTGGATGAATAAGAGAGACAGGAACTTAGCTTGGTTTGCCAGTGTGGTCCTTGGCCTAGTGCTCCTGAGGATTTGTTTCTTTGGCATCAGCATTTAGAGTTTACAGTTCTTGATTCCTCACTAACTGAGGAGAAGGTTCTTGTGTAGCAACTCCCCCCACCACCCACAAAAGCTTTCTGTCAAGCACTGTGCAATGTCTCATAGCTATAAAACAACACACAAAAAACACTGAAAAGCTCCAATATTGAAACCTCTCATGCTAAGGACATGTCACTGGTATGCTTCACAGAACTGTTACTCTGCCAACAAATGCTGTCCCTTCCACCCCAACTGCCATGTGACTCATTATTTGTATAACAATTTTGTGTTGCTGTACCCAAGAAAACATAAAGGAAAACATCCTAATACCTTGTAATACTAGTTTGTCATCAGTTATGAGCATGAATAAGTGGGTGTGTTACACTAATGAGAGAGAGCAGCTACCCTGCAGCATTTTAAGT